CCCGGCACTCAAATTACTATGAAACTATTTGGAAAACAGAGTATATATCCTATCAATATGTAACACTTACTCGCACCCTAAAACGAGTAATATTGGGGTACCGCAGGAATCAAATAAGGTCCCCTATTATTCCTAATATAATATTCACCTTTCAAAATGTCTAAAACTATCTGACTTTTTTCTTTACGCTGACGACTCAACTATTTCCTGCTCAGACAACAAAACTGTTTCATTATTGTGTAAAGTGAACCATGACGCGGATAACATAGTGACCTGGTTTCAACAAAATAAACTGCACATTATTGTTATAAAATCAAAGTTCGTCATTTTTTCTTCCAGGCAAAATCATTATTCAGCATTTCCATCATTAAGATTCTTCAAGTACACTCTATTCTCCTGATAATGTCTTGTTTCTTGGTGCCACATTAGATAAACACCTCAAATTTGATGAGCACGTTCTCACGTTAACAAAAAGGCAGCTTACGGCATTAGAGTAATAACCTAAAGTTCTCAGTTTCTTCAACATAAAAACACTAGTCTCTCATTATGCTGCTTTTATTCATACGCATAATATTATTGCATATCATCATGGGGAAACACCTATCCAGTTCATTTATCACCCTTGCAGTACACTCGAAATCAAGGTTTTAGTTTCATGACACACAGCTACTACACATCAGAAGCATCTTCATTGCTCACCGCTAATGGCATTTTTGCGAATACTCTATCTTTTGCGAATACTCTATTAAACTTTGCGAATATTCTATCGCAATTCTGATGCACAAATTATCAACGGAAAGCTTCCGTTTGTCATAGTCACCAAATGTTAGCATCCTCACTGATTGTCAACCCGTTTTGCTTCCAACAATAGCAATTTATTACCGACACTCAGAATTAATTATGTCAAGTTTACTTCTAACTTCTCAGCCACTCAACTGTAGAACCCATTACCAAGCCATATCAAGACTATCTCTCATTTCCACACAATCATGTTCACTCTTCATTCTTACTTGCATTCAGCATAATCATTTCGTCATCACCACTTTTTATCCTTTTTATTAACAAATCATGATAGTATTATGCTTCTTTTTTGCAATGTTTAGTTTGTGTTCATATATAGCTGCGTTTTACATACTTTTGTTACTCATTCCTCATGCGAGGTCCCCTGTACAGTATGTTGACTTTGGAACCTCCCTCTGTATCTGTATAATCCCCAATCTTAACTACTAATTTTGTGCAAATAAATAAATGAAATGAAAATGAAAAAAATGTTCATTTGCTGATTTTTCTCAAGCTTTTGATTTGGTGAAACTTGAGGTGTTGCTAAGTAAGTTAGATATTTAAAATGCTTGTGGTTGTGGGTTATATTTGCTGCGGTCATACTTGTCCCATCGGCAATAAATTGTCCAAACAGATAACTCATGATTCCGAATTCTGTCACAGCTGTGCCGTGTTCCGCAGTGCAGCATACTGGGACCTTTGCTCTTCAACCTTTACATTAATGACAATGTTAACATTAATAAAAACGTCGTCTATATCACATATCCAGACGACACAATCATATTGTTTCTGGAAACAGCATCGACCACCTCATCTCAAATTGTAATGACACCTTAATTGAACTACAACACTGGTCTTCATTCAACGTCATGAATATCAATGAAAATAGAACAAAGGCGCTTATATTTCGAGACAAGAATAAGCCAACCTATGCTCATGCGGACATAATTTTTATTTCTTGCCCATTTGATGTTGTCGACTATTTTAAGTGCCTTGGTGTTTTGTTTACTGCGCACATGGCTTGGGAAGCTCATGTCAACTTAGTGCTAAAAAAATTATCTCGAATAATAGTCGGTCGGCTCAATTACATTCTATCGCCAAAACTTAAAGTCCTCACTTATAATTCTCTTTTCTATTCACATCCTAACTATTGTAAGCTTGTCTTGGGTACAATTTCATTATCTGATATCCATCTAAAAAGTTTACGTTATGCAGAAATAATATCTACGAAATGTTTATAATGCTGGATGTACTGCAAAACCAACTAGCTTCTTTCATAAGGTTGGTGATATAACCACTCACAATATATACTATTATCGGCTGAGTTCTAGATATAAATATGACGTAAGACATACCGCACATAAATTCGACACCCTAGCACATTTGGAAACAAATGACCACTACTATAAAGCGAGACATCGAGAGCATTAAAATGTTGTCACACCCCGTATGAATAGAGCGTTTATGTTATTCTTTAACATCAGCGTTCAACCTGTTTCAGTTATTCAATTTTTATTTGTGTTGTTGTTCCTCAGCTGCACTTAGATCTATGTTTGTATTAGTAAACTAATTTTATGAACCACGGCGTTGTATGTTTGTATGCCCCGCCACGCTGGTCTAGTGGCTAAGGTACTCTGCTGCTGACCCGCATGTCGCGGGTTCGAATCCCGGCTGCGGCGGCTGCATTTCCAATAGAGAGGGAAACGGTGTAGGCCCGTGTGCTCAGATTTGGGTGCACGTTAAAGAACCCCAAGTGGTCGAAATTTCCGGAGCCCTCCACTACGGCGTCTCTCATTCTTATATAGTAGTTTTGTGACGTTAAACCCCACATATCAATCATATCAATAAATTGTATGTTTGTATGCTTTTTTGCAGCCTATTGTATATTTTATTGCGCACTAATCATATGTTTTCATGTTATCATTTGTGAACTGCTTTGTTTCGCTGCTGCCCACATGCCATAGAGTATTTCGGGCTACGGACTAGTAAAGCCGCCTCTCGGCAGCTTTTTTCCGATGCCCTCCATCTGAAAAATTGTACAAGGTGGAAATAAAAATTTGGTTTGATTTGAATGGCCAGCGGTTATTTTTTCCATGTATCAATTAGAAACGAGGAGCACTTCAATACGTCTTTGATGCATGGAAAGTTGTTTACTTAGTGCAGCTAGATGGATTACTAGTAATTTTATTTAGGTGGTAAGTCTAACGTGATTGGCATCATTTTGCGAACGTCCTACAGTGGCAAACTTGTTTATCTGCATTTACCTTAATATCTCGGTAAGTAGGGCACTGTTGTTGGTGATGTTGTCGTTTTAGACGTTTTCATACATTGAGTTGAGCTTTCACTCTGATGTAAATTGTTATTTGACTTTAGTGCGCCTTTAACTACTGGATAAGACAGCATGCACAAAACTTGAAGAACGTTGACAGTGCCCAAGCTTGTCTCACTGCAGAAAATGCATGTGTGAGTGGAAGGAAGACAACATTATAAGAAGCACGCTGAAGAGCACGACAAAAGTAGGAACACGGGACGAATAAGAGGTGCTGCTGTATAGCACAGCCCTGGAAGACTAGCTGCGACTCAACGAAAGAGCTGAACGCATCGCTCGGGCCAGCGGGTCCTTGGAATAGGCGCACCATCATGCCGGAAAGATATGCTCTTCAATAGTATATTCCCTGGGAGGCTCTGTAGTCATAGCGGGTCTGGTTTCTGCATAATAATGTTTTCTTTCTACTACCACTTATATGAAGCCAGAAAAAAATTAGCCGGGAACTCTGGCAGGCGCACTGTATAAGGCAAAAAAGCAACTGTGTTAGTGACACGTCTACCGGCCCCTAAGTAATCATGATTTGTTTATTTTATGTGGTACGCTCATAGGCCCATAGGTAAGTTGTATTCCTTCATATGCGCTCTGTATGTCTGCTTTCACTGTTCTACATATATCGCTGGTAGCGCCTATGTTGTCATTCTCTCTGATGTCTTTGTCTATTCAGCGCAAACATTAGAGTCATATATACTCGCCCACTAGCCCAGCAACAAGTTCAAACAAGATCACGCTGGGAATACGGCTACCACTTTGTTTTAGGAGTCGCGGCCTCTTTCGGTCAAAAATTAGCTTGTTGTGCCACGAGCCATTTGAGGCTTCAGTATCAAAACAGGAAACGCAATAATGCTTCGTCAACAAGATGTATGCGCTGCTTCAATTTTTTATAGTAGATACTCCCTACAGACGGAGTGGTCTTAACCAATAATACAATTTGGTCTGCTACAATGTAGACTTCACGGAACGGAAAAATTTTGCCATGACCCTGTGCTATGCATGTTTGGCGTGAGACATGCTCAAGTATACCGATTACATTTGAACTTTCATTGATAAACACTGTAGCAATACTTTCGAGAGAGATATCCAAGCCAGAGATAATTTCATGGGAAGATGGAAGGTTGATGCAACGAGAGGTCGCACTCGTTCATTTTTCACTTGCTACCTTCAGCTCCTTCCTTTCTCTAGTTTGGAGGGAGAGCTCGAAGCCTAAACAGTCGCAGTACTAAGAAAATCAGTTGCTGCCTTTGTGAAGAGAAGTCTGCTTGTCGAATCTAATAACGTTTCTTGTTGAATGTTCTCTTATAACTCACAGGTATGGGTATAGTTTCTACAACTAAGTTGTGGTGTGTAAGATTTCACGAAGTTCCTCGCAAGGATTCTTCACTGGCAAGTGAAAAAACCTTCAACCGTCAAGTGCACGTAAGCATTTATTCAACCCTCATGAAGAGAACAGATTGGGATATCACTGTTTTGCTGTTACAAATATAACTCTGACTCCGGTTGATGGATATGCTTATAACGCTTAGTTAATCCTCGTGACATGCGGGGTCACCTGTACAAGTGTAGATAAAGCCAACTTTGAATAATGCGGATGACAATTGGGTGTTTCTTTGTCAGCGTATATGATAGACAAAGGCAAAGCAAGGAACGTTAACAAAGAAGCCACAGTTGTGGCGATTCCACGCAAAGAAATACGAAGGAACCAGGTCAATAAATATTTGTTTTCACAAAATAGCTCTAACTGAGGCTCTTAATTGAAAATGAACCGACTAGCCCAATTATTACGTGCTTCTAAAAGCAATGAGCGGCACGGCCACGTCAAGCATTTTTCATTTTGTTGTTGGGGAAACTTTAGGGCCAGGGTTTAACTCGAGCAGCCGTCCACGTAATGTTGACTTTACTTCGAATTGCTTTGGCTGCGAATGCCTCGCATTTGCTGTATTCCGAGGTCGTTGATTTCATTGTAGTAAGGCAACGAAGTCTTCAGTCGCTCGTAGTAGTCCAGTATAATGGGAAAACGACTCAAATCATAGTCGGCGCACTGCGAAAAAAAAGACATATATAAGTAAAATGAATCGTGCCCAGTCACTCATGTTTGCAATAGATGATGACGGCCCTAATAAGTGTTGAAGCATCATGTCGATAAACGTATTTATATTTCAAAATTTCCACTGCTCATGTGAAATTACAGATACATGCACACTGCACGACGTCAGTACATTAAACAAAGTGAGGTAATCGACTCTGTGGTCACATTCACTACGGCGCGACCCGTATAACAGGGTGCCCCAGCTATCTTTAGCCAGAGTTTAAATATGAGTCGACACACGCGAATATAAGACGTCACCAAACACGTGTTTCTGACTATTGTCTGGAGTGAATCAGACTATTGTTATGTTCTGATAATTGTTTATTTACACCCTTTTAGCTTACTAACTTCGTAAGGAACGAACCCAGACAACACAAACACAACCTCAAGACGTCCTTATTATGCCTCCGTAAGGACAATATCACGCCCTGAAAATGTCCTCTTATGGTACTAGAATGGTACTAATCCCGTCCCCTTGTTCATTCACATAACAACCTCAGTACATCCTCAAAACAACACTTAAGGAGTTTTTCAGTATCTTTTCAGAACAACGATTGCGTGGCCAGTTCCGTACTGTGGGCAGCGATACTACTTAGGATTTACTTCTTTTCATGATATTTCTATACATCAAAAGAAAAAAACCTTCGAGGTCTCGTGTATATATACTGAATCAATCAACAGAGAGGTGACAAATCAAATAAGGTTTGTGGACCGAAATTTATTTATTTAACAGTAATTAATCACAACTGACAGCTTTGTCAGGCATTTGAGTCCGCGTATAGTCTGAAAAAAGAAAAGCAGCATCAAGGCAGTCGACACGGCTCAATAAACCACGTGTGTAATCTTCCTCAAAAGTTTGACACAGTGTCCTCATCACCACGTGTATCGTGCCCAATGCATTCACTAGTGTTAGAGGCTCCACTCTGACAGCCTACCAGTACACTCAGCAGAGGCGTTGACTTGGCTTGCCCGAGGTCGGGCCATGTGTCAAATGCAGAAGGCGATCATTTCACGTTGGCACCAGGCGGCTTCGAAGCACAATTGATCGCGATTGGCTGGTTTTCCAGGCTGCTTCGAACCACACCTCGCCGCGGTCCGCTGGTGAAAATACATCGATGATCAGTCTGAACGGTGAGCAGCCCAGTGCACCCATCAACACTGCAATTTACCTCCTGTTGTCACCTATGACTTACACTCTCACAGTATATCTCACTTTTACCCATGCACAGAAACAACAAAGGACACGAAGCTTCACTAGTACACTGCATTTTCCCTGACAGACCTCATTTTCACAGTCTGTTGTCTTAAATGGCTTGGCTACTTGACTATCCAGAATGGTGCCGCATGGTCAATGGTAGCCAGCTGCTAGTTTGTTATTGCGCGCTACAGCGGCGTATAATGACTAATTTAAGGCTGTGACATTTAAAAACACACTGCTTCAATTTGGCATTTCACAATACCACATTCATTACCTAATCTAATTAATTACGCGTGTCTCATTAGGCGGAATGCGTAATTTGAAAATTTTTTGCAAAAAATAATTCATCGAGGCGAAAATATACAATAACTTTATGACTGCATGAAACGAACGTGTGGAAAAAGTTTTCACATATGAAATACATCATCTTGGTGCGCAAAGTTCTTGAGGAATCCTATCGAAATTCTCAGTGCAACGCTTTTGTCATCCCCAAAAGGGTCCTTAACAAGACCTTTTCTGAACCAATTGTTGTCCTCAGAAAGCACTTGAAGAGACGTTTGAACCAGTGCTAGTGCATTCCTTTTGTCCTCTCCGAAATGTCTTTAAAATTGTTTTTTCAGGATAAATTGTTGTCGTCAAAAAGCACTCTAAAAGACATTTCCGGGTCAATTAACCAGCTTGTGCCGTCTTCAGTAAGTACTAAGGTCAATGGGAAATGTATGAGGATGATTGTTCCATATGAAGACGACCTCGGGACATCGAGTGTCGTCTGGGAAGATGGGGAAGATGAGAAAGTTGTAAGTCGCTTTGCAAAACGTCTTATTACACAGTTTCGAATTTTATATGTGGAAAATATTATTGTTTTTCTCATTTTTCTGATACCTACGAATTCCTGCAAAATACAAATAAACCACGTGACATACCCACTGGCGCACCCACGCATGCCGTAATTCTGGTGCTCCCTAACGTTATGCTGCCTTCGGACCGGTTCAGTGGTACGTAGTCACAGCGGTTGTCATTTTTGGGGCCAACACTGAAACGTGTCAATCGCAGAGGCACCACTATTGTTGCGGCCCGGTCGAGGCAGCACAATCGGGCAAATAAAATGGTCGTTTGTACGTGGAATGTTAGGGAGCACCATAATCACAGCGCGTGTAGGTGCGCCAGTGGGTTTGTCATGTGAAATTTTAGGTGTGAAGCCTCTTATGGCATGGCTCTGTCGCTCCTCCGTATGTATGTATGTATGTATGTTTGTATGTATGTATGTATGTATGTATGTATGTATGTATGTATGTATGTATGTATGTATGTATGTATGTATGTATGTATGTATGTATGTATGCATGTATGTATGTATGTATGTATGTATGTACGTACCAACGTTTCTAGACTAGGTAAGTTGCAAAACTTCCCGCGTCAGACTACTCGTCACACGGCGCCGGGACAGCTTCCGGTTTGGTGGCGCTGGCGGCGCAACAAGCTTCCGCTAGCAGACGAAAACGCGTAGTCGTCGTGGCAAGACGCCGTGGCGACCGTTCTGAAAGAGCTTTGCCAACAGTATATTATCGAGATTTGTTGTGCTGCCGCAAAAACTTAATACTGCGTAATATTAAGCGGTCTAAGGCAAATACAGTATAATTATGGTTTTCTGAACTGCCCACAATAAACAATGCTTCATATATATATCATGGCATACGAGTTGCCGGTTAGTTGCTAGTTAGTGTACGTTCGCAATAAACTTTTAGACGCGAAAAACCCAATTACAATGTCTGGCATCCTTTTTTGTGGCTGTGTTTTTTGCGCTTGAAAATAAATTACAACTATGTGGCGCGATCTCGTGGCTTTTGTCTGGTTATGTAGTCAGCTTTTTTTTTTAATGTCAGTCACATTCTTTAGCAACTTAGACCGTCGAAAAGCTACGCGTGCGGCCATTTTCTCGAGTATGTCTTCCCTCTGCTTCTTATGGAGTTCCTCTAATGAAACCTTTTAACACAGCGGCAGCCAAAGCTTCGAGCAGAGACCATACTTTGGGGTATCGGTGAGCACTTCATAGTCATTACTCACGAGTCTGCCTATTGACGCATTGGGACAACATGAACACACTTGCAGCTTTTCTCTGTGTTCCAGAAGTTCGGCCCATAGGGTGATGGTATCTTCAATGCCAGGCGACTTGGCTAAGCGATTGTGACGGCTGCTAATGGTGACTGTCATGTCTTCTGCGACGAAAACGCATTTCTCCACAAATAGCGCTCTTTTTTTTTTTGAGCCCTAGAAACCCCACAAGACATACTGTCTCGCCATCCTCAACAACTTTCCGCCAGCATGCAAACAAATTTTTTCTATGTCTTTAAGCGAAATGACGCCACTAGTTGACGGCATGTCGGGACTTATTTCACTGTCTTCGAGCTCAGTGCTCGGAGATACTCTATTCTTTTTCGGCGATGATATTCTGGAAAAGACCCTGCTCCTATCGGGCAGCTTTCGCTTCTTCGTCGCGGGCCCCGCAACAAAAGTAAGCGGGCAAGGTAAGCGGGTAAATTCGGGAATATTCGTGGAACGCATCCTTCGACGAGGTCCCACTTTCCTCTTGCGATTATTACCTTCTTACCATATGACGTGAGTGAAAGTCTTCAGGATGTCCTTCTCATGAAAGAGTATATCACACACACCTGAGGTGCTTGCTGGGCAGTTTCTTATCCGCACGAGGAATAGCGTGGTCCCATACCTCTCGCTGCTCAGGTACACTGTGGGTACAAAAGAAATGTTGTGGTGTCTCTCATTTCCCGTAGCTACTCTACAGCCGAGAACGCAACATCTGGGCATGATGAAAACACGCAACACATACAAAGCAGAACAGGGTGCGCTGAAGCATAAAACTTTTCACGCAGAAAGACGCCTCCACGAATAAAGACGCACTGCAACATGCAGAGCCGACGGAGGCTACGGGAGTGACATGACGAGCATGCAGTGAGTGAATCCGGATGCGACAGCAGCGCCACATTTATCGCTGGCAGCGGCGGCGCCGCGCAACACCGGTCAGTTTTGCAACTTACCTAGTTCTAGAAACGTTGGTACGTACGTACGTACGTACGTATGTATGTATGTATGTATGTATGTATGTATGTATGTATGTATGTATGTATGTATGTATGTATGTATGTATGTATGTATGACGCAAACCGCGTCATATTTTCATTGTGCTGATACGCTTTGTAACGCGTGAATTAATTTTGTGTGATCTGTAAAACTTCACCAATTACCCCCCTTACTCATTGCCCTGTAAAAGGGCCTGTAAAGAATTTTAAATAAATAAACAAATAAATAATAAGTATGTATGTATGTATGTGTGTGTATGTGCGTGCATGTGTGTGCGTGCGTGCGTGTGTGTATGTGCGTGCGTGTATGTGTGTATTTATGTGTGTGTATATGTGTGTTTGTGTATATATATATATGCGTGTGTGTGTATGTGTATGTATGTATGTATGTGTGTATGTATGTATGTATGTATGCATGTATGTATGTATGTATGTATGTATGTATGTATGTATGTATGTATGCATGTATGTATGTATGTATGTATGTATGTATGTAGAGCGGGTATGTGCCACAGGGGTTGCGAGATGGGAGATAGCGGTACTTGGAGTGCTCACAAGATGGACGTATGGATGAATGGACAGACAGACTAGCAGACGGACGAACGGATGCATGGACGCGCGGGAGTACGGACGGACCGATGGATGAACGGACTCATGGACGTACGCATGGAGACACGGATGGTCGCATGGATTGACGCATGGATGGTTGTGCGGACTCACGAAAGCACGGACGTGCTGATGGACGCTTCGCCCCACTCATCATCATACACTCCGTGGATATGCTGTCAATTGCTGTGAAAACAGCAATTTAACCATTTTTGTATTTCGCGGGCGTTTGTAGTGAGTAGAAAAACATTAATGCTTAACGAATAATAAGTTCGAAACTGTCCAATAGGATGTTTTGCATACCGATCTACCTTTTCCCCATTGAAATATTTTAGCCGCCTTCGTTCCTTCAGAACCTAGTTAATTAAAAGATATAATGATGCAATTCATCATAACACAAAGAATGGTCTGACTCGCTCCAGGCAACAGTCAGCAACCTGCATTTTATCGTGTCGTCATTGCGTGGGTCGGCATATTTTTGAACTCTGGCTAAGATACCTGGGGCACCCTCTATACTGTAGTTGTGGAACAGGCCGCTTATTACGCCTATGTCAGACCAATACCGGAATACGCCTGTCCTGTGTGGGATCCGTTTCACAAAGTACACATTCATGCACTAGAGCGCATTCAGTCGATAACAGCAATATTTGTTCTGGGAAAATATGACTGAATTGAAAGCTCTCAATGTATGAAAAAAGAGTTGGCAATACTTACAAGATCGAAACGTAATCTAAGATTGAAACCATTTTATTCAATCTATAGCAAGAAAACAGACATTAATCCTTCAGAATATTTAAAACCAGCGCATTATCATTCCTCTCGTCATGACTACAAACTTAAAGTACGGCCATACAACCCCAGAACGGATCTTTTTAAGCGTTCTTTTTTCCCGCAAGCCACTGTCGAATGCATTATTTTACCAGCTGATTTAGTTGGCCGCAAGACTGTGGATTCATTCTATGAGGCACTGTGCCCCCCACCATCATGCCTAAGATGGCGCTGCGGGTAATCTTCGAAATAAAGAAAGAAAAAACTGTTACAAGGTCACAGCAACAGCCAACTTCAGCAGCGATACTGATCGCGTCACTGCTGTTGCCGGTAACCACCTGAATTATCGCTAAGCATGAGGAAAATATCAACAACAATGAGAGTGCACCACGATTTGAGCTTGAGTTGAACTGAGGCGGTGTGCGTGACAGCCAAGTGTGCTACGACACAGCTATTTTAGAGCTAGAAGCTTCTTTGGAGCAGGGTTTCCCAGCAGTGAGGGGGGTGGGTGGAGGCGGTCGAGGATTTGTTGCAAAGCTTTCCACCCTAGTTATTCAAACAATGGGGTGGGTTTTCCACCGCCTCTCGAAGGACGATAAAAGGAGGGGGGGAGGGGCTAGCCTCCTTTCTTACCCTGACGGTGGGTGTCTGGAGTGTTCTGTTGTCCTCCATAAGTGTGAAAGAATTTGCTTTGATCTAACGACTCGCGAAGGCGGCCAAACTTCGTGAATCTGGTTTGTCTATCCGGTATCACATCTTCTTCGTAAGCATTCATAAATCAACGATTGCTTTTGTTCAGAGCTAGTTCTTTCCGCACGTCGTCAGAGAACCTGAAGTCGTTTCCAATCTACAACTAATTCCGTTTTTTTAGAAGAGCATGCACTAAATGTTGTCATGACAATGTTCTTCCATGAGAAACTGAAACTTGCTTTAGTGTATTCTTTGGTTGGTGTCACGTACCTTAGAAACGACATCCTCTGATCTTCAGAATTTTGTGAATGTGGTCATTCCCAAATGTCTTTATGTCCGCGAACCATCCCACAAATTGGACAAAACTTTTTAGACCAAGGCCAAGTCAAGGCGGCTGCTGTGCGCATTACCACGAAAAAACGCTGGACTGCCATGATTTTAAAAAGCGCAGCTAGTTTTCTGACAAAATTATGTCAGGCCTTTGTCGCTTATCTGGGACCATCTCAATAGCGTATGGTGGGTACTAAAGCGCTCAATAATGACCCATGGGCTTGCATAGAAATTATAGTAAGTATGCTAGTCTTTTGTAATTAAATATTTGAAACACGCCATTAGGCACCAGTGCTGCCAGAAGCTACCATGCAAACAAGAGAATAGTCATCACAAAAAGAGCGGAAACATGATGTTTTCCCGCACTTTAAAAAAATATTTATTATGCGCCACTGCATTGGGAAGGATAGTTTCGAAAATCAAAAGTACGTACTTTTGCCAGGGCATCATTGACGTCACTTTTTAATTTTTTTAACGTATGTTTGACTTCAGAACTCAACCCTAACCTTGCGCAAGAATAATTAGGCAGGGGAGGGCACAAAAAGTGCCCTATAGAGAGAGTTAGTAGGACGGGGAGGATGAATCTTCACCCAAATTCATGGGGAGCTCTGCACATGCCCCTTCACAAAGCTCCTAGACTGTCGCGCTGCCAAGCAGCATTCGGGAGCATCCTCTCAAGAATGGTTGCTAGATGACACCATGGCAGCACAACGTTGCTGCTCCTTTGTTCTACTGTTCTTGTCAATGTTAACGCGTCAGCAGGAAAGACCTACTATGACTTTGCATATTTGGCGCATCAGTGAACCGACCGTAGGCTTTCCGTGGCACGATAAATTTGGTTCGTTCGCACGAGGCGCAAAGTATTCGTAAGAAGATAAGGCAACTGGCACTTTCGGTGATCCTGACGGGAAAACTTTCATTATGCCATTTCAACATTTCGTAAGTTTTTTGTGAGAATGTTACAGAAACATACTGATTCCTTCAGCTAACATACAGAGTTTTCGGAACGAAATACTGAGTATTTCACTAGGGATACCCTAGATCATGCGCATATCAGCTTCGCAAGGTTCTCTCTAGCCATGAAGGTTAATTAGGTGTTATTTTCTAAGATTTCCAGTTGAAAATTACCCTATTTTGCTAATATATAGCATTCGTAGGTAATTTTGTAGTGCATGAATTCCTTAACATTTCAGCTGTGCAGTCGTGTGTGCTCGCGATGTGATCTAGACGAAGCAATGTGTAACTGACAACGCTTCCGAATTGGGCGCTTTGCCCTTTGCCAGAAAAGTGCTGTTATGAGCTGTGCGAACGACGTGCCAGTCATTTCACTGACGCAATGCAACAGATTCGCTTGTTCACCCATTTCAGAGCAAAATGTTCGCCACGTGCAGGCGTTAACAATGTGATGCGTAGTGGTCGAAGTCATTCGGCTGAGAAAATACTTCAGATTTCTTGAAGCAGTGATGTTGAGACAAACCATCTTGACAACGAGGATTTTTTACTGGACGTAGAAGGTTGTCAACGCCCCGAAAGTGACAAGCAAAGACAAATGATCAACTGCTAATCACGAGGAGCGAGTTGTACTTCACGTCCCGTGACGCGTTAATGTGTTTTTCTTCCACCTGTAAGTCACTTTGATTGTATCTGCTATATCATAATATCCTTGAACGAGATCAATGTAAAAGCAGGGTATTTCTTGTGCACTGCATGGAATACAAATAGTGTAAATATTTGGAGCGCTGCAAGCCGCCAACACGCTGGCAGTCGATCAGTGAAGCGAATTGATTAGAGTGAAGAAACTTGCAGTCACAGTCCCGATTCATGCCTCTGGGCGAACGTCAGCCGTACATTACTGGAACCTACCAAACTGCATTGACTTTCGGCGTATTTTCACAACAATCGAAGAATTCCGCGCCGCCAAAAGCACGAGTGTGCATTCTTTTCAATATCCATGTTTTGATTCTGCTTATCGAAGCAGAAAGACGCGACTGCGGTTCATTGCGCTGGATAAAGTCTGAGCATTACCAGGGGACAGAAGCGTTACTGATGAGGTTCACCCTGCCGCGATGGTCTAGTGGCTAAGGTACTCGGCTGCTGATCCGCAGGTCGCGGGTCGAATCCCTGTAGCTTTGGCTGCATTTTTGATAGAGGCGAAGATGTCGTAGGCATGTGTGCTAAGATTTGGGTGCACTTTATTGAGCCCCTGGTGGTCAAAATTTACGAATTTACGCCCTTCACTACCGTGCCTCTCCTAATCGTATGGTAGTTTTGGGAAATAAACCCCGAATATCAATTACTGAACAAGATCATGGTGCTTGAGATTTATTGAAGGGGTAACTCCACGTTCCTGATAACGCAATTCAGTAATAACGGCACCATTATAAAATTTGCAAACCATCGCCGCGTTAAACAACCGGTCTCGTGCAGCATATATGACGCTACTCGCTAGCAGCCTGCTACTGGTGCGAATCCTCCAGGGAAGCTCTGTGCATACTACTTTGGACTATTTTTAAGTTGATACAACAATTCTACTTTATGCAGTTTTTTTGTAGCGTGTTTTCTCGAAGAATGCCACTACAGCGTTGAAAAAGGAAAACAACTGAGAGGCAGAAGCAGTGACAGTGACACAGACGGTGAATTTTTCTGCTTCTATGAGTTTTTTGTGTGTTTTCTATCTTCAATGTTTATGTGTCTCATTCAAGCCAGTTCTCTGAACACTAAGTTGCAGAGAAAGCAACACTTGAGTTTTGTAGCACGCACATGATTTTGGAAAGCATTGTTTATTCACGTTAACAGAGTTGAAATGTTACCTTCCACACCACGCAAAATGAATAGGTGGCGAGCCTTTAGCACTTTTCATGGTTTGGAGTACTATTTAGGTGTAGTATTCATTTCAGAACAGCCCACAATTTCATCTGGGTAAAAGTGGTAGGGCCCACACGCCCGCTCGCTTTATACCTGCGTATGCTAAGGAATAAGTGGACCCTGTGGGTGCCATTCTGAATCACTTCGTTCTTCGTTATTCTGAATCACGTTCACTTCGTGGGCATTGCGACTGCACTCGACTACTCAATATTACCGACAAACATGCTATTAGTGAACGACTAACGTGCATCGGCAACCCTGATGATAAATGAAAACTATATTTGCTGAAAAAAGCAAATAAGCCCAAAGAAACGCGACAAGCAAATGAGAAATTCTACAAGTTCTTCGGTGGTTAACCAAAACTATAATCAGAATAATATAGGGGGAACTGACACCTATTGAATGTGTCGACAATAGTGCTAGTAAAACCCTTTTTTTTCTATCAGGCATACCTATTGTTTATCGTCGTCATGTCGTACAGGCTGAAAAACTTAGGTCAGGTCGTGGCGAATAAACATACGGCCTTACTGTTTTCACCAACAGCAACCGATATAAATGAATCCTATCCGGAGGGCGTCCGGAGAAACTCTAAGAAACAGCTGGTCGCAAAAAAAAAAAGACACCATAGTTCCGTCTCTGAACAACACCGTATTCGGCGCTAGGGAAAGGTAGTGACGTGGAGAATGAAAGCAATGAATACAATTTATTTTCACTGGTACTGGAAGTACGACATTTTCGCGAATCCAAAGTATCTAGTTCTTCATTACGAGTTCAAATCAGGGAGCCAAAACATTATAAAGAGTTCCATGTAATGCTTATGCTACGTGTGCTAGTTCACTGCACACGGCTTTTGCTTGATGCTTGAAAATGGTTTCAAAACAAAGTATTGGGGTCCGTCGATTAGTTAGCGCCTCCCTTATAGTTTCCTCCGTGATGGCATATAACAATAAAGGCACTCATCTGATAACCCGAAGCTCAAGAGTTCAATCTCGCCACGGCAGTCGCATTTCGGGGAAGGGAAAATGCTGCAGGCCCATATGCTGTGCGCTGTCAGCGCACGTTCAAGAACACAAAATGACCCTAATTTCCTGAGCCCTCCACTACGCATTCTCTCATACCTATATCGTGGTTTTGTGATGTCAAACGCCAAATATCGTTATCTACGTTCCCGCATAGTAACACAGATGCGCTGCACTACACTCGTGGTCACTTACCTCAGTGACGGTTAGTGTAGCGAGGATGGAAATATCGGCCAAGGTGACGTCGTCTCCAAATAAAAACTTGCTATCTCCGAGAAATCCGGTGAGGAGTTCCAGCGCTCGCACCAGTGGCTTCTCCTGCTCCGAGTCTGGCTGTGGCCCACCAAATATCACAGGATACTGTTGCCAGGGTGAGAACGTCAACAGGGCGTTTCAATAAAACTCAGCCACAATGAAAAGTCTATGCCTTTGACACGCAGGAAGATTAAGTTTCACATTTAAAGGTCTTGTTCGTATTGTTTTCACCTATCACGTCTTACGCGTCGCTTCTCGGTGTTTACGTCGGCCATACTCGAAGGCACGAGCGCCTCATCGCGTAAAATTTGCCATTGCCAGCTCTGCTAATAATTTTACCGTAAAGCGCGAATTAACGAAAACGCTAAAAATGCAGAAGTGGGGTGAAGGCTACCTGAGGACAAGAAGAAGAAACAGGAAAATGACTTATATGTGTTACTTCGTAAGTTGCGCCTTTTAGGTGAACAGCTCTCAGTTGGAAGAGTGCTTGCGAATAAGAAAAGTTACAGCAAAAAGCTACCTTCTTGTACCTTCTGGTACCAGTCTTGAGAAATCTAGCTCAGAACACTGCATAATCACTGACAATTATCTTAACGTGTCTTTGTCATGCTCTGTGAGACAGACCTCATTAATTTCTAGTATTAGTTGGGTAGCATGCGTGAAAAATATCTTGGCGAATTTTCTTCTTATAGCACATCCGCTATGCTGACAGTGTCTTGACATAAGGCAAATAAGAGGTGGGTGCCCTTTTCGATGAACGGAGACGTTGCTTCAAGCTTTCGCTCAGGGGAGCCGAAGAAATTCATGCGTTAGTAAAAAGGGGAAGTGATTCTTTCCTCATTGGTGTTTATCTTATATTAATAATATAATTATAATTTTATATAAGTAATTTTATTCTAGCAATACCCAATACAAGATAAAAGTAATAAGGCTAGAATGCTTACTCTATGAATTCAGATCGGCGCAACTCGAAGAAATCTTGGCCTAAGGAAATGTGGCTCCTGAAGCGAGCGAAGCGACCCTTGCTGTATGGGATTCTATTGTAAACATAGCGCTTGCCGGGGCCACTCAACTTCCCTACGGAAACCCCCTGTCATCCCTCCCGCATACTTATGAGTTCTTTCGCTCCGGCTACTTTCACAAGCAACTTGTGGAACATTGAACGTACCAACAGTTGAGATATGTTAACTGTTTAATATTTATGTGGAACTTCCCAAAGACAGCAAAAATGCACCCGGCGTGTCCATGTAGGTAATATCTTGATAAAACACGCCAATGCTTATCACTTGACGAATTTCTTCTCAAAACCACGTTGCTGTAAAAACAATTTGTATTGTTCTGGCCGTTTTCTTGATAACCAATGCTTAATTCACAAATGATAAATCGCACGTACGAACAGTCCCGCCATGGTGGTTTAGTGGCTAAGGCACTCGGCTGCTGACCTGCATGTCACGGGATTGAATCCCGGCGGCGGCTGTCTTTTTCATGGAGGCGAAAATGTCATATATGTCAATGGGCTTAGATTTTAGTGCACGCTAATGAATCCCGAATGGGCGAAAATTGCGGAACACACCACTACGGCGTCTCTCATAAACACATCGTGGTTTTGGGACGTTATATTCCACATAATATTATTCTTAATAATAATACTGTGGGCATTTGTAGCTTACATCGTCCTCATCCCTCCATAATCACAATCACCATCATCCGCTTGTCTCTTTGCCCTCATTGCCACTCTGGGTCATCATGATCGTCATCGTCTGTGAGCTGGCTCTGCCCGTTCGTTTTGCGATTTCTTTCCTCAAATAAACGCTGTCGCAGCCAAGACTACCAAGACTCCATACGTGGTGGAGGTGGATTTTCGGTCCTCTGACCTCCCGCAGCCCGCTATTCCCCCTGGAGCTTCGTTCAGGCCGCCGCTTGCGCCCACAGTCAGGCAGCATGTCCCAGACCGAGCCTGCCGGCACTGATGTCATCAACCACGCACCGCCGCAAGCTGCCCCTCCTACTTACATACACGGACATCAGCGGGAACCCCCGCTCTTCGCTGGTCTTCGGGGAGAAGACGTAGAAAACTGGCTTGATGACTACGACCGCGTAAGTGCCGCTAATAGGTGGGACGAGGCCGCCAAACTGCGCTACGTGCTTTTTTTATCTGGTCGGAGTCGCGAAGACATGGTATTTTAACCATGTCGTTGACTTACCCGACTGGGCTACCTTCCAGCAGCAGCTGCGGCACGTCTTTGGGACACCAGACATTCGATCCGCCGTCGCGAAGAGGACACTCGATACTCGCCGACAACATCCCGGTGAATCGTATACTTCATACATCGAGGATGTCCTCGAACTCTGCCGGCGTGTCAATAAATCCATGCCGGAATCGGACAAAGTGCGCCACATATTGAAAGGCATTGGGCCTGTTGCCTTTAATGCCCTCGCTGTGCAAAACCCAGCTACCATCGCTGATTTCGTGGCGACATGCCAGCGCCTTGATGCGCTGGACTCCGTCCGCCTTCAACCAGACATCGGCGACCACCACTTCACGTCAGATGGCCATCTGCGTGACCTCATCCGGGACATTATACGCGAAGAATTGCGGTCCATGGGCTTCACACCTCCTACACCGCGACCTACACAGCCTTCGGGAATGCCCTTACGTGACATCATCAGGGAGGAACTTACATCCCTGACTGGCTCTGCGCCCGTACAGTCACCTGCTTCTCACCTTATAGCCACATACCCTCAAGTTGCTGCCGTGCCTCCCAGCGACGCCCACGCGACATTGCCACGTCCATCCTACGCGTCAGTTGCTGCCGCTACTCCTGTGAACTACCATTCCGCGCCCCCTGACCCTTCGGCCCACCTGACCGCGCTATCTCCAAGTGCCCCGAATGCCTTCTATTCCCCACCGTGGCGCTCGTCTCGCCCTGTATGCTACTACTGTGGCTATCGCGGCCACATATCTCGTTTCTGCCGGAAGCGCCAGCAAGATGAGCGTCGGAACGATGTGCGTGAATGGGATTTGTACAACGGGGCGTCTTATCAAGGTCGGCGTTATTCGTCCCCCCCGCACCGGTCTCCATCTCCTCCTGCATCGACTGCACCGCGAAACAGCCGAAACACGAGACGCCGCTCACCTTCGCCCTTCCGCCGTTCCACTTCTCCACTTCGGCCCGCCTCATTCGCCTCTGATATTCATTCGGAAAACTAAGTGATGCAGTTTGTGGAGGAAAAACTGCATTCGGAATTAGAACTGAAATTCCTCCATTAGGCCCGTGTAACATGGTTTCTGTGGAAGTGGAAGGAGTGTGAGTCGATGCTTTGGTGGACACAGGTGCGACATTGTCTGTGATACGTGCTGATTTGTGCGAACATTTAAGGAAAGTAATGACGCCTTACGATGGTCCCACGTTAGTTGCTGCCCAGGGGAACATCATTCGCCCTTCCGCGCTTTGTACTGTGCGTGTTTTCATCGACGGCATCCGCCATCATGTCCAGTTTGCTGTCCTGTCCCGCTGCTCTCACCAACTAATTTTAGGGTGGGATTTTCTATCATCTGCTTCCGCGGCGATTTGTTGTGGACAACGCGTCGTTCACCTCGCTGACACCGACTACATGCTTGACGACGATAATCAGAAGCCACTTCGTCTGGTCGCTGCGAAAGACATCGAACTCTCGCCACTACAAGAGCAAATTGTCACCATTACGTCCAACGACATCTATCACGGGGACGTATTGGTCTCACCGTCACCACTTTGCGTTCGCAAAGGTATAGTTCTTCCGTCCGGTGTCGTTCGTTTTTGCAATGGCTCGGCACTTGTCACCGCTGTCAACTCTACACCGGAGAAGATCTTACTGCCACAGGGCACTACTGTGGCCCGTGTTGCTGACTTCGAGCCTGTACTCGTCACGCCACTTCAGGCCATCGCATCCAAAGAACCTTGCCTACGTGAGCATGTTTCTTCCTCCGCCTTTACCACCACTATCAGCAGCGAATTGACATATTCACAGAGGCAGCAGTTGCTCGCATTGTTACAGAAACATGCAAATTCTTTCAATATTTGCTCGTCTAAGCTGGGCCGCACTAATACTACAGCACATCGAATTCAAACTGTTGGGACATCTATTGTACACCGCCGACCCTACCGCGTGTCTCTAACTGAAGGAAAAATTATAGAAGAAAACGTTGCGGACATGCTTAAATGGGAAGTCATCCGTCCCTCATCTAGCCCTTGGTCTCTCCTATTGTTTTGGTCCATAAAAAGGATGGCTCTGTGCGGTTTTGCGTGGACTACCGGGCGCTCAATGAGATCACACGCAGGGACGTGTACCCTATGCCACGCATTGACGACGCCCTTGATTCCCTACAAGGCGCGGAATTTTTTTCAAGCATCGACTTGCGTTCTGGGTACTGGCAGATCCCCATGCATGAAGACGATAAGGAGAAAACGGCATTCGCAACCCCCGACGGGCTATATGAATTCAACGTGATGCCTTTCGGGCTCTGCAACGCACCCGCGACTTTTGAGCGCATGATAGATACCGTGCTGCGCGGCCTGAAATGAAAAAATCGCCTTTGCTACCTGGACGACATTATTATCTTTTCGTCAACGTTTCCTGAGCACCTAGAACGATTGGATCAAGTTTTGACGTGCCTTGCTGGCGCCGGGCTTCAAATAAACACGAAGAAATGCTCTTTCGCTAGCAAATCTATCAAGGTCTTAGGACACGTCGTTAGCAAAGATGGCATCCGGCCCGACCCTGACAAGATTTCTGCAGTCCTTCACTTTCCGCGCCCCGAAAAACCAAAGGAGCTTCGCAGTTTTCTTGGCCTCGCCTCCTATTTTCGCCGGTTTATCCAGAACTTCGCTTCTATTGCTGCTCCATTACACCAACTACTTGCTTCCAACGTCCCCTTTCTGTGGTCTCAAGAATGCCAAACAGCATTCAACCTGTTGAAGCGGGCACTCACGTCTGAACCTCTGCTCTGCCACTTTGACGAAGCCGCACCAACTATCCTCCATACCGACGCTAGCGGCCTTGGTATAGGAGCCGTTCTTCTACAACGCGACAAGTCTTCCCTAGAGAAAGTTATTGCATATGCCAGTCGCGTACTCACCGCTGCTGAAAAGAACTACACTATAACTGAGTGTTTGGCTGTGGTTTGGTCGGTCCAAAAGTTCCGTCCCTATCTCCACGGGCGTCACTTCACAATCGTTACGGACCACCATGCCTTATGCTGGCTTTCTACACTGAAGAACTTGTCCGGACGCTTGGGTCGGTGGATACTACGCTTGCAGGAGTACGACTTTGATATAACTTACAAGTCAGGCAGAAAACATCAAGACGCCGATGCTTTATCTCGTTGCCCGCTTCCAACTACCCATATGAGCGTTGGTGAGAACTCAACCGCCACACCTACCAAAGTTAATACGCTCGCATCAATAACGCAACCCTTTTCGGACGACGAGCCAACATTTATCTCCCGCCAGCGGTCCGATTCATACTGCAGACGCATCATGGACCACCTTTCGGGAGTTTCTCATCCACCAAACGCGTGACTCCGTCGTCAACTCCTGCACTTTAAGCTGGACAGTGGGGTTCTCCACCGCCACGTCTACCACCCTGACGGTCAGCGCTGGGTTCCTGTACTGCCACGCTTTCTTCGACTTCAGGTGCTCGAAGCCTTCCACGACGACTTGACTGCTGGTCATCTTGGTTTTAAAAAAACTCTTGACCGCATTCGATGTCGTTATTACTGGCCTGGCCTTTCTTCTAGTGTAGCTCGGTACGTCGGTTCCTGCTACCCATGCCAGCGTCGTAAACTCCCCACGTCGGCACCTGCTGGACCTCTACAGCCACTTCCGTGCCCTTCAATGCCGTTCGAGGTTGTAGGTGTTGACCTTTACGGGCCTCTCCCCGTCACATCTGCAGGCAAACGATGGATAGTGACTGCCGTGGACCACCTGACACGCTACGCTGAAACTTCCTGTGTTATTACAGGCTCAGCTGTGGAAGTTGCAGACTTTATTCTTCACGCAATAATACTGCGTCATGGGGCTCCTCGTGTACTGCTTAGTGACCGCGGCAAAGTGTTCCTGTCACAAGTTGTAAATGAAGTACTGCGCGCATCTGGAACTACTCACAAGACAGCTTCAAGCTACCACACTCAGACAAATGGTCTCACAGAAAGATTTCACCAAACCCTTGCAGACATGATAGCCGTTTACGTCCAACCCGACCACAAAAACTGGGACACTCTTTTACCATTCCTGACATTCGCTTACAACACCGCCGTTCAGCGAACAACTTGCTACTCACCGTTTTACCTCGTGTACGGACGCACCCCGACTACTTTTCTCGACAAGAATACATTTCCCGCCTGGCCCAGTCTCGCCATCAGGCTCGCATCAATACTGAAGCGAGACAGCACGAGCGGAAGATCATCTATGACGAATCCCACCGCGTTGTGTCTTTCCAACCTCGTGACGAGGTACTGCTTTTGACACCTATTCGCACTCCTGGTCTCAGTGACAAATTCTAACCACGCTTCATCGGGCCATACATTGTTTTAGAACAGACTTCGCCGGTTAATTATCGTGTGACACCACTCGTCGCCCCAACAGACCACCGCTACCGCAGCACAGAGATTGTCCACGTTTGTCGCATGAAACCTTTCACGCGACGTTCCCCATCACTTTGACTTACGGCGGCCAGGGTGTCCGCTTTCAAGTGGGGGGGAATTAGTGTGGGCATTTGTAACTTACATCGTCCTCATCCCTGCATAATCACAGTCACCATCATCCGCTTGTCTCTTTGCCCTCATTGCCACTCTGGGTCATCATCATCGTCATCGTCTGTGTGCTGGCTTTGCCCGTTCGTTTTGCGAGGTATTTCCTCAAATAAACGCTGTCGCAGCCAAGACTACCAAGACTCCATAATATTATTACTTACGAACAAGACGTACGTAAAGTCGTCTGTGTTATGCAGAGTGCGAACTGTCTACAGTGATTATTCCCGCAGGAGAAGCACCTAATTGACATAACTACGGAGCCTTCATGTGCGCACCGGCTAACAGATGCCGGCGCCTACTTGAAGGCCTCCTAGACCAAACGGGCTTTCAAACAAAATTGTAGACGTCTAGGCAATTTCTTACCAGTATTTTGTGGCATGCGTCGAACAGGGTGCCCATGTCGAAATAAAGGAGACGCTCCACTGAAGCTCTGGAGCGTGGATCAGTTGGGTATAAGGGACTGTGAGGAACATACCGGTTCGCCATGTATGTGAGAACAGCACGGCTGGAAAACAAAGAAGTACGTCACGTGGGCGAACAAAATAGAAAATGAATGTGCCTTCCGCAGGTATCGCGAGAACTCATTTCAACAAAACGTAGTTGACTAGAGGTCAGCTTTGCATTACTGCCACTAATTGGTTATGCCAACCTCTATGGTTATGCTTTTTAATTCAACAAATCATCCACTGTTGCATTTCCTTGAAGATTCGCTCAATGCAAAATAAAAAAATTATAGGTAATTTGATTAGGAAATACAATCAGATCAATTGCGTTATCAGATGATTGTGTGATGTGGTATCTTTTGCCTTAGCTTTTGGGCAAACGGGGTGTGTGCTACACGCCTGTAAAAAAACAACAGCGTCGCTCTTCCGAAAATTGCGACATGAATTTGGGCGGCTGAAAACAAGGCACAGCTATGATCTATAGCGAATTATCTAAGCATTGAACCTATATTCTGTGCAATAATTTATCTCGACATCGATTTATTGCTAAGGACCCGAATGCTTGTCACAAAACAAGGCACCATGATTAATGTGGCCTCAAATATGACAAGTCAGCGCAGCATTTATTGCACATCGAGCTCATCCTTGATTTGTAACGTGTATCCCACACACGGGATAATCTCGTATGAAGTAGGTTGAATAAAAAACCACACTAAAGCAAGACTTTTACAAAGCAGGTAATTACATCATCCAACAAATTGTTGATTACATATAACGCACACGAAGTCATTTCGCCCATTTTTTTCACTATAGATATGCCGACACTGCCGTTGTATGCTTGTTTTCGCCGAAACTATACTCCTCTTTCTTCTTCGTTAGCTCTAGTACGGTTCCTTGAAGCATTTCCTAACACATAGAATTGTACGTAAACTTTTTCTTGTCTTATGTACACTAACCTTCTGGGCCCGGATTCACAAAACTCACTTACGAAAACATTTTTGCGCAAGAGAAATTTTCTTGCGTAAGTCGATTCACGAAACGAAAAAACGTCGTAAGAGGCCATAGTTGTCACATCGGCCGCTGCAAATAAAGCGCGCTGTGACTGCCTGGGAACATGTCAGCGATGGTGATACAGTTGCTATATTTGCTTACGTCACCGAAAAGTGCTCGTAAGTGGATTCACGAAGAGAAATTGTGCGTAAAAACAGCATGGCTGAGAGAAAATCCCAAGAGTGGTCCGGACCACTCTTAGGAACAATGTGGCTACTTAGAACCTGCTGCCGCAGCGGTATACTTTGGTGCCCTGGCTGGTTTTGAGTTAATTCACGCCCATCAAGGGCTGCCTGATGACTGTTGGTGCGTTTTTATTTCTTTCAGCGCTTTGAGCTTCGCGTGTTGTTTCCCTTGTATGCAGTGGATGGTGTTGACAACCACCATCGTCCAATAAGTTTGAAGTCGCAGTAATTGAAGAATTCTATTGGGCGTCAATGGCATAAAACTACGCATGTAAAGATTTGTGGTTGGATGAAAACCAATGTGATACGTGAATGGTCGGTGCATTCAAACGCGACATGGCATAGGATCAACCTTATTTGTTATGTTGTTGTGTTGCGCCCCATCTTATCCAATTAAAAGTGCGACACGAGATCCTTGCCTCATTGGTGGAAATTACCACCAAAGAGGTTAATGGGAGCACATTCTTTGCACGCTATTGGAAATAAAAATGAGAGGAAGTTTTCAGTGAATGGTTCCTAAAGTTTGTGCTCTAGTGTACTTTCATTGGCTCTAACTGTCCAATGGTTGCGATCTCTGAAATACAGCTGTCGATACACTTTGGGACGATCTGGAAAAAAGCGTACTTTGTAAACTAAAGCGTATTAGGGGTGCGCATGATTACGCATGGAACTACAAACAAATCATGCATCTTCACCTTCACTGTTCAGACACCGATATGGACCGTGATACTATGGCAAGCAATCGGAATGAAATGACCCTAGTAACTTTGAATGACACCAAAAATATGCAAACCCTCACGATTCCAGAGAAAACCTTGGCTGAATTCATCCCTGCGTCAATTACCAGCCATTTAACTTGGCACACGAACATCATTCAAAGGTAGAGCGAGCCACTGACATGTATTTTGTGCGACGTAGCGACCACTTGACCTGAGAATAATAGCGTTGCGAAGGCGAATCCCCTGTCGCATGCTCTGATCGAAGCAGACGACAAACGCGAGCAGACGACGGCTTGGCCGACAGGCACAGGTTGTGATTGGTTGTGAAGCAATACCCTCTACATCAGCTCACTCCGTGACGTTGCCAAAACACTTCTTTCATCTGGCACGCCTGTCCTGTTCGTCATATCACCCCCCTCGCACATAAGAAAAATTTTTTTCTTGCCGTGAAAATAGTGCAAGTACTTTCTAAGAGCTCTCTTATCATCTTATGTGCTGCGCAGTTGTCGAAAACAACATGGCGTCGTAAACAGCATATCGGTCGGTGCGACTTTCAGCAAACGCTTCTCGCACGAGTTACTTCAGCGTTTGACCGGGTGTGTTGTGATTACAGCAGCTCTTTCGGTGCGTGTAAGCAGTGCGGAAAGCTGTGGCAGTGCAGTGGTGTACGGTGAAGCGCAGCTAAGCCTGTGCGTCGGTGTGGTTATCAAGCGGGGATCGGCGTCGATGTATCAACGACAACTGGCACTCGAGAAGCCTGCAATGTGTGTTTGTGTGCCGGTAACAGTTCGTTCGCTTGACTTTCCAGTCTCTCAGTTTGGTGCTGTGCGACATTTCGGATTGACAGCGTTTTGACACGTTACTTGAGTGACCCCAAGTACGTACGGAAACGTATGAACTACGCGCTCGGTTCTTGCTTCGCCACTAGTTAGCCCGCACGCTTCTATTTACTTGAGAGCAATGTACTGTTCGGGAGTGAAACGATGTTCGTTGTGAACAGTGGTGCTGTGTTGACGTTCCAAGACTTGTGAACAAGCTGTGCTCGTGTGACCGAAACTTGAAAGACAGCGTTGATAACTGTTTTGCCCTGCGAAGTCGTGGTGGGGCAGCTTGGCGCTTTTGTTTGTTAAGTCGTCACTTCTCCTTTTTGTGATAACCATAGTCCTAGCGCTGTGATGTGATCAACCAAAACTGCGAGATGCTACATTCTGTTGTGGATCGTGTTACTTTGGAAGCACGCCTAGACTGTTCTTCGGTAACAATTTGAGAGTTCTATGTGGCAGCGAGAGCCCGTAAACGTCAAGCTTCCCTCCAGCCCCCCCAAAAAAGCAAAGATTTCACCGGTGCCTTGCTTTGGATGAAGTTGTAGGCCAATATCGCCTAACTACAAGTTTCCGAGTTCGTCTGGCCATCGTTTTGCCCGGCACTAGAGCCTTGACAACAGCCGGTCATGGCCAGTTCTTACACTTTATCAATGGACGTGCACGCCTGGCCAGCCCTTCATTGCTGTCATTGGCAGCTTCCAGTCTGCAGATGCCCTTTGCCTGTTCGCCGTACTTGGTTCCTTATGACACCGACGGCCACTAAATGCTGCCATCGGTGAGTTCACCTTGCAGAACTAAATTTCACCGGTACTATAATTCACGCAGTTCTATAACGTGTGCAAGTTTTTAAGCCCATCAGATGTAATGTTTCTCTATGGTAAGTTGAAGCATGAAAAATTTACTACTACTGTTATATACATACATATATTATGGAGCAAATACATAAAAAGTTTTTTGTGATTTGATACAAGTGAGCTCTTGTTTGATTATGAGGTTGGGCCTGTCGATTGACCACGTTTGATAGTTGGAAATTTAATGTGAATTTATTTTTCAGGAGCCAGGTTGCACTTCAAAATTTATGTTATTTTGGAAAATTAGTTCTATAGACGATTACCACTGTGGTAGTACTATACTTCAGTAGGACATATATATTGCGGTACGTAAATTTTACATGAGGCTTCAGTTTATTTCAAAGTGATTATAGCAGACTTTGGTCACTTTAACGAAGTGATAGCTTCCTCAAATAAGTATTAGAAGTGAGTGCTTTTAATGATTGTTTTTAAATATCTCGTTTTTGGCTCTTCACAGATCGCAGAGATTGGTTTGTTAAGGTCCTGTGATGCATCGGTTGCACATTCTGGCACATCAATCCTCATCATTACTTGGAGCACCTGTACAAAAATAGGAAGGACACGTTCTCCCTAACTGTGCAAGCCTATGTCACTGCTCGGACTGTTATCATTCAGCGGATGTGGCGTGGAAGCATGCATGGCAGCCTCATCTGGAAGGACTGCAATCTGCTTGGGAGCTTCGAGGGCACAAAACTGCCTAACGGCTGGCTGCAAGGATAGTTTTTTTTAATACAAACGATTATGTGAACACCACTTACTGTGCACAAATTGAAAACCCAAGCATGGTTGCTTTTAGTGGATACCTGTAATATTCTTACAAATAATTCTTATTCAACATTTATAGAAATAAATTGCAAGATAATTGAGAATGTTAAAAGCTGAAAGCCTGCAGCTTATGAATGAAACTCCAATAATCTGAGACTCAAAAGCTTGTGGTTTGAAACGAGCACAAATACTTTGATTCCTTATTGAGCTCTCCAGCTTGTGACTCCCTCTGTGGATCAAGTGCTCTGGAAGGAAATAGCAAGTGGGTGAAAATTGCCTGACTGTTCACAACTTGCAAGGAGAAAGACCTATTGAAGAAGCCTCAGATGACATAAGGCCAGTAACTGCATCTTTTACCTAATGTAGCTTTTTCTCTCTCAGTGCTGTTGCTTGTGTTTCAGCTGAACATGTTCACCACGATTGCATAGTGATATATATTTTTCTACAAATTGTACCTGACCTAAGTATGCATTGTTGATCTCTAAAGGTGACGTTCTGTGTGTTTCAAAGCCATGGCTTCTCATTTCTCTGACTGTGGCTAGCCTATTTCAGCAGCAGAGCGATGCAGCTAGCACACATGCAATCCAAGTCATGGAGCGCTCCTTTGGTGTTCTGTGCAGGACACAGCATATCCATCTGGCAAGACACTGGTATCAACAATAATGGTG